GTGGGATCTGACCCACATCGATGCTATGTTTACAGTAAAATCCTTAAGTTATTTTGTGAAAATAATAATACGATAAAGCTTTAATAGGATAAAGCTTTTAGAATGTTATGAAACTTACATTTACATACATTTCTAAGACGTTATTTTCAGAAAGAAGTCCTGGCAAACAACATTGGATGAGTTCTTGTGCAAATAAAATTTAAAGCGATGTATGTTTCTAATTTATGTAGTTTGTTACTCTTATATTGGCATATACACAAATTTTAATATGCACAATGTTTTATGTTTTAATCTGTGCGAGTTTTTTGTTATTCGATATTGGTTTGTTCTGTTTTGTGTTAAGTTCTGTTTATTTGTTCTTGTGTGGCGATATCAATGCAAAAAATATATGTGCATAAAGTTACTTACACATTTTTTATAATCGTATCACTGTCCGCTCAAGAGAGATCTTACTGTAATCAGTTCAATATTTAAGCCTCCAACAATGTACAGAGTGGATTTGTTGATTCGTCCATCTATTAATATTTCAATTTCGCCAGAAGACTTTGTTCTGTGTACAGGGTGAGTCAAATAGAAAGAGTAAAGTTCATTATCTCATTGGTTTCAAAAGTTATGAGAAAATGGTAAACACAAAAGTTGCTAAGATTTTTAGGATGCACAATTTAGAATTGTTTTAAAGTATACAGGGTGGCTCAAACGCCGTTACGAATAAAACTATTTTTTATGAAATTTTCAACTTTTTTTTTATAATAATAATACACACCGAAATCTAATGGTTTTTCCAATATTTTCATTTTTGTAATTATTTTTGTCATTATTTTTGTTAGATCTCTCGTATTTGATATTAGCTCTATTCGAAGGTGACGTAAAAGGCACATTCAACGAAATTTGAATTAGATGCTACAGAGTGTTCAAAATAATTTAATATATTTGGATCAATTTAGATTGAAAAATCTATATTTTCTTAAATGGCACATATATTATTATTTTTTCTGAAAGATCTAATCACAGAAAAGGTAAATAATATTAAATAACTATTACAACAAATTAACTTATTTAATTTTTAGTTATTATTATGGAGCAATAAATGTTCAAAAATATATTCGTCTACTTGGATACACATGTTTAGTCTTTTTCGTATATTTTCTTGGACGTTCTTTAGCATAAACGGTGTTATTGTGCTGTACACATCCCGAATCATATTTTCCATAACTTCTGGTGTTGTGGGTTGATTCGCATAAACACTCTTTTAACATATCCCCGCAAAAAGAAATCTAGTGCTGTTAAGTCATATGATCGAGAGGGCCAACCAATGAATCCACCTCTACTGATCCATTTCTGTGGGTAATGATTATTTAAAAATTCTCGAAGTTGTGGTAAATCATTCTGCAAACAGTTCAAATATCTAAGCCCGTTAAGTACCCAGAATGGATTAACTGTTGAATAATTATGCACGTTTTTCACGACTAACTGCACCATTACTGAGAAAAGTAGCATCATGGAAAAACATTATTTTAGAAAAACAAAAAGGAATCGGCGTCCATTGCTTCATTTAATGCGGTGCAGAAGTTTACCCTTTGCTCAAAATCACGGTCTAGTAGAAAGTATGATATCTGTGTTTTTGCGATTAACGGTAGATTCGGAATTATCACATAAGATACATTCTTGGCGGCTACTTATCTGGGGATTACCTTGAGCTTGAATTAAAATTTCCAATTCTTCTTTCTCATCGGTAGCATTCTGGTTTACCACTTTCCGCATTTTATGTTCAATACTACAACTAATATCTAACTGTTCTATTAAACCCTGAAGAGAGTATCTGGTTCGCCTTGTAAAGTGGTACTGTTAACAAAGTATTTTTTCCGCCTCACCCAGCATACAGGGTGTTTTTTAATCGAATGTCAATAATAAAGTGGGCAGTTTTTGGGTGCATTTTTAAAAGAAAACTTCATAAATGTCTCAAAATAAGTTGTTTTTTTAAATCTATATTACCATTTTAGATATTTGAATGAAATTTGGAAAATATGTGCTATGGATCAAGAGGCATTATTCAGGGTATGGTCTGTTCATAGATATAAGAAAGTGACCAATTGCTTTTGAATGGGATTATCCAATGGTGGTCATTAACATACAATGCAACAAGATTATTAGCTAAAGTTTCGGAATTTAAATTCAGGTAAAATTGTGGTCCGTAATAGAAAATAATTTTATACCTAGCTGTGTTGAATATTCTTTGGTTTGGTATACTACTTAGCTTAAGTTTATTAGTAATCATTCTTATTTCGTGTGTAATACAGCGTGTGTTGAATCGAGTGCGAATTATGCAAAATATGTGCGAGTCTAGTATATCTCAGGAGATGCTCCCGCCCAAATGTAGAAAACACTATTCTATGGGACTAAGGAAGTTATAAACAATGTTTATTTGACTCTCATGGAACGCGGTGCCAGCAAGCAAGCATCTTTAGAAGAAACGGCCACATTGACGAAAATTCCAACATCAACTGTATGGAAAATTGTGAATAATCCCATTTCAGCGAGGAAAAAAAGAAGCGATGCTGACATTTTCTCGAGTGTAGATAAAAGTTTTGCCAGTAAAAAAATTACGAGGAACAAACTACCTTATGGAAGTGTATTCAACGCATGGGTTTTAGATTTAAAAAAATCGACGAAAGGCAAGTTTTAATTGAATCTTTTAGAATTCGGAAATGGCGACTGGAATATCTAGAAAAAATTATTATTTACAGAGAACAACAAAGGCCAATCATTTACTTGGATGAAACCTGGTTCGACACTTATGATACCCCGGAAAAGGGTTGGGTTGATTTAACTGATAAGTGTAAAACAAACGCGCCATCCAAATGGACTTTCTCTGTCTGCGAAAAATATTAAAGATTCTTCTCTGGATTACCATGAAGACACCACCGCTGATTTATTTGAAAGTTTGTTTAAAAACAAACTAGTTCCAAACATTCCTCCTAATAGCGTAATTGTAATGGACCAGGCAAGTTATCACAGTAGACATTTATTTTCACGAAGATTATACCAAAAAGCAATTAAGTGAGGTTTTACAAAGCTTGAACCTACAAAAGGAATACGTCTGTGATAATTATGCAAAAAATCTAGGGCATACAGTTTTAAGGCTTCCACATTACCACTGCATATTTAACCCCATTAACCATGTTTGGCACCAACTGAAATGTGGCATCCGTCATAACAATGTTTTTCCCCGTGTTAACTCCAATGTCCTCAAACTTATAGAAACCGAAGTTTTTAACATCCCTCCACAAAGTTGGGCAAATTCTGTTAAACATAATGAAAAAGCAGAACAATTGTATATACATATTGCAAATAATAAAGAACAAATACTAATTAGAACAGGCGATACATAACTAAATAAATAAATATTGTTTAGTATCTTTTCTAACAAAACCTCAAATAAATAAATTCTAAGCAAAGTACGGACATGTTCGGCCATATTTCATTCTTACAGCTTGCCCGGGACCTTCCGTAATTCGTATCAGTTAGTCACTTTCTTATATCTATGAACAGACTTTACTACGATTTTTTAAAAATATACCGGTGACGCGCGCACGGAATTTCACCTGTCTATTTTGGCAGGCATTGATGGTACGCCACTGATTTCTGTTAAAATAAAAATTATTCTTACAATGTCCAATCATTAAAAAGTTTTCGATTTAAGTGGCGACCTAAATAACCAAAATATTATTTGTTCATCGATATTATGACATTTGCATTCATTTATGAGCAGATTTGATCTTTTAATTTTTTGATTTTTTTTTAATGATTGGAGATTGTAACCGTAATTTTTGTTTTAAGGGAAATCAGAGTCTACCAAAATAGATAGGTGAAATTCTGTACAAGCGCCACTGGGGTATTTAAAAAAAATTATGGTGCATTAAATAATGACTCTTGATATATAGCACGTGCGTGCCAAAATTTACCACCCCAAAAGTGAAGAGGTTTAGGATATATGTTCATTTTTAAAATGGACCCAAAAGTCGCCTCCTTAATTATTGACATTCAATTAGAAAACACCCTGTTTAAATTATAATAATTAAATTAAAATTAAAATATAATGTAAATTTTATGAATTCATTTAATCGGTTGTTGGGTAAAAATTTGACAATGTCATAAACTTATAGCAACAGTCTTGAACAAAAATAAGCCTAGATATTGTTGTGGGTTTTTGTAAGATCTTTTAGAAAAAATCACAATAAATATGGTGTGTCATTTAAGAAATAGGAGATTTTTTAATTTAAAATGATCCAAATATATTCGTTTATTTTGAACATCTTGTAGCAACTAACTCAAATTCCGTTGAATTTATCTTTTACGTTATTTCCGAATAAATCTAACATCAAATATGAGTGATTTTATCTTATCGTAATGGTTTTCGGGCACGAAAATTTATATTTTTTAGAAAAACTAAAATCTTGGAAAACTATTAGGTTTTGGTATGTATTATTATTAATATAAAAGATTTGAAAACCAAATTTAATAATTGGTTGTCCATATAATTCGTGACGCTTTTTTGAACCACCCCGTGTACTTTAAAATAAATGTTAACTTTCGAACTTTCGAAGCCAATGAGATAATGATCTTTACTCTAACTGCTCGTTTGAGTATTAAATATCTTTCAACTAATGATAACTCCTTTCCACTCATTATGTCACACAAGTACTTCTATTAAACCACAACTGCTAAATCACTGATTTGACATTTTAGTAAAATCTTAATTCAGCAACTCAAAAGTCAACAGTGTGCCTAAACTTATGCTGTTAAAAGTGCTTACATTATTTATAATAAACCGTATGTTGACAGTATTTAGGCGTTTTTAAATTTGCTTTGAGAAATCCGGTCAATGCTTCAATATTTAAACCTCCAACAACGTCCATTAGTAGATTTTCTCACAAAAAACTGCATTTTGAAAAGTTCATGCTTCACGAATCGAATAACGGTTACTATAAAAAGAAACTTACCCAAGGCGACGTAGCATTCTTTGTAGAATTTATATCCGAGAATAGGATGCAGTAGCCCCATAATAGCTTGCGGAAATTCGGCCATCAGGAATAACAGTAGCACGGCCAGCAGCATTTTCGTGGTCCTATTGAATTGCCTCTCCTTTTCGAGATGTTTTTGATTCATTCTCTGGTTTGTCATGCGGCCATTCGAATACGTAAGCAGTACCTTCTTCCTTTGCTTGGCTCTAAACAGTTCAACGATCAGCAGCACAGAGAGGATAGACAGCAATATACATGGGATTAGTTTCAAGACGACTCCGTAAACGTAAAAGCTGATGTCTCTAAATATTGTATTTTTGTAGCCAGTTATGTAGATGGTGATGTTTCTCAGTTCGGTGTTGTTTTCATCGACAGAATCGTTGAAGACCACGCTCCCATCTGGTGTTTCGAACGCGTCTTGGCTTTTAACTTCCATCGACAAAATTAGCGGAATGCACACCAAAGAGCATAAAATGTACGTAAAGCAGATGGTGAGTTTAGTACGTGTTTCTCCGCACCATTTCTGATTGTTCTGCGGATATTTAACAGCGACGTATCGCCATACGGCGAGAATAGTCGCGAGGGAACAAGAAATGAAGTGGAAAGCGTTAGTGAATACGGAGTGGAATATAATGAACGACGCGAATTCGTGGCTAAAGTAAATGGAACTTTTATCTTGGAGGTAAGAGAATGGTATATATTCAAGCATCACCAAAACATCTGCCACAGCTAGAGCTGTAAGTATGTAATTCGTAGGGCATCGCATAGGTTTCGTAGTGAGGACGAAGATGTTCAAGATGTTGAGGATCGAACCGAGGGAGCAAACGGTCAAACTTAGGTATACGTGATAACTTCGGAAAATTAGGCTGAATTGTTTCAGGTTGCAGTATGATGTCATTGTGCCGCTCACTCTGGAGAGACGATGGTGAATTCCCAGACATGTCAATCAATTTTCTCCCTGAAAAAAAAAACAATACTAGTAGCCGTCGGACGTCTGAGAAAGTTTACGGAATAATGGGTCGATGAGTAAGTACAAGGCAAAACGACGTAAACGCCAGTGAGTAAATTGTTGACTAGAATAGAAAAACCGAAATTTTCTGCGTAGCAGGTTTTCTCCTACTTATTTAATGATTAACTCATTAACTGTATAAAGAAAATATTTTCTCGTCATATAATAACCCTGGTAATACTTTATGTTAGTTTTATAATAAAATTTGTGGCTAAGGACGTTCCATGACGGTTCAGTCTATTTTGCTATGACGCTTTAGTTTGGTTGTGCTTACATAATCCATTAAAAATGGTCATTTATTATGGTTTATGGAAAGTTTTAGAAAAACTGTAGTAAATTTCCAATGGAAAATTAGAATGAATATATGAAATATTACCTGTATTTGAATGTTAGGATTAATAAAAAAGCTAATATTTTTTTTATATTTTCTTACTTATGACCTATTATTAACTATGACCTAAGAACAGAAACACTTAAAATTAGTAACAAAATATTAATCATTAAAAACTTAAAAATAAGTAATTAAATTGTTATGTTAAAAAAGGAACATGTATCAACTTAATTAGCAACTATAAATATTTACTAGAACTAGAAGTTTTTGGTAAAGCGTTTGGTTTTTGGAATATTTTTCTAAAAACATGCTAAACCTGAATAGGTCAAATAATTTCTATCAAGAGACAACATATCAAATACAATATTAAAAACATGACAAAATGAGTAAAATAGCATTTGTTTACTTGGTAATTGGTAAAATCTGTGTAGTTTGGAAAGTTTTAAATATCTTTAATATCAGTGTCGTCCAAAATATCTGGCACATTAGTACCAGATTTAAATGTTAGGTACAGTCTGTCTTAATCATAATCGTGTTCGCTTTCGAGCCTCCACAATAAAACTTTAACGATGTTATTACCCATTGGTATTGGGTAAAGCCATCAACAAGCAATTTATTCTTACTTGACTGACAAGGCATGGGTGGGCCAGGTATATTCCTTTTTTTCTGATATATGTTGAATGGTTGGGGCAGTGTTGAATAATCGTTTTTACTATGCGTTTCGAAAAAGTTATTTTACGAGAATATTATAATGTCGCGTCGAAAACATTTGTCTCTTGATAAAAAACTGGTTGTGAAAAATGTCTATGAAACTTTAATCAGTAAAGGATTTATTAAACAAGAAGCTTTAAAGGAAACATGTCTACTTATCGTCGATAAGGGATATTAATATTAATAGTGGAGAATCGAAGAAAAGGAATAAACGTAGATTTTCAAACTCGCCGTATAGTGATCAGTGATAACAAGATTTCTTTTGAAAAATCGTCATAGAAGGAAAGAGCTTCGCGGTTTCGTGTGTTAAAGGGACGCATTGTTTTTCTATCGTGCTCCTGCGGACCACTATGGAACTTTCGGAAAATCGTTGTAATTTAATTGTGCATGCACCCTGTATAAAATGTCCATCACATGTCGTCGAACTTCAAAGTTACAGCAAATATAGGTAAATATTAAAATTTGCACAAATAATAGCGTTGTCAAATGATATTTTTTCAAATATCTCTCGCCCTGTATAATTGACGAAACCTGAAACTCTCACGACACGGTTTACGATACTGTTCAAATAAAATTATCCCATCTTATAACTGGTTTTCATTTATCGCCAATAATTTAGCCACAAAAACGGAAATTTTTAGGATATTTTAGGTTTTTTGCCCATAAACGACACACCCTGTATATGGTGCAATCATTGTTCGAAGTACAGGTTATAGCCCTGGATTTTCCACGCGTACCGGTTCAAGAATTTTTTGAAAATAGTAAACGGTTTTCGAGAAAATAAGTTTTTTCTGAAACCATGCAGTGGGCCGTAATAATCAATGACGTCATGGCGTCTTGACAGCCCCCGAAATAGCGATTTCAATATGGATTTTTTCAAATATCCCGAGCAGCGTATGCGATAGACGAAAACTGCAAATCCAAAAATTGTATGTCTTGATGCGGCCTATGACACCGTTTGAACCAATTAGCCATATTTTTTACGATTTTTGATTTGCCGCTAATAATTTACTCTGTAAAATAACAATTGTTTAGGGCTTTTTGATTTTTGCTTATAATTTGAATACTCTGTATATAATCGAAAAAATGTCCGAAATAAGTGTTATTGCACTGGATCTTCTGCGTCTGCCGGTTAAAGAATTTTGCCAATCGGGTCGGAGGATTATGGAGGAAAACATATTTTTCTGGAAGCTAAAATTACCAAAAAAAAAATTCAAATATATTTCAAAAATACTTTGTAATATTTGATTGCGCCCAATTTCTACAGTTTAAATGTGGACACGGACTTTTACTTCTCTACTAAATTTGAAGTGGATATCTGCAAATTTAGGACATTTAACACATTTCTCATTTAGCACGGAATATCGGGAACACCCTGTCTTGTAAACGGTTTTTGAAAAATGGTCTTTTTTGTAGACCCTTGCACACGCGATTTTTATTTTTTTAAATACTTCCCGACCCCCCAGGCCCCCATTTTCAATAGGTTCCTTCAGGGGCAAAGCTGCATATATGGGCCAAATATGAAGTTGATTGCATCAAATTGGGACAGTTATCGTGTTTCATAGCAAGGTCCAAAAAACAGTCGAAAATCGCGAAAAAAAGACGGATACCGGCGTCGGATCAGGGCCATTTCTTATAAGCTTATGTGGAGGGTTAAAAGGAGGCAAATTTCAATTTTGTAGCTCCAACGGTTCGAAAATTATTCTGGAAAAACCAAAAGACGAGAACGGAGAACGGACAAACAGACAAAAAAGATTTTTTTTTCGACGGTGATCATTTCTGTACCAACGGCGATCCCTTAGGACTTACCGTTACCTAGATATAAAAATTTTATACGAGCGCAGATACTTTCGAAAAATCCTATTTCATCGATTTTCGAAAGTAACAAAAAACCAAATATATTGTCTTTGGATAAAGCTAGAAGAAGATGAAACCAGTGCCACCCTCCATAGAGTTGTTTGAAACATGGGATTTAAGTACCGCAAAATAGTCAAAAGGCAAATAGTAATGGACATTTATTTACCTTAAAGAAATTAAAAGATATAGATTAGACAACAGATACCTAATTTACCTTGATGAAATATGGTTCGTATTCAAAAGATGGGTTGATTCCACTCAAAACTATCAGACGAAATCACTTTCAAATAAAGGGAAATGCATCAGAAAACGGATTTGTCTGAAACTGCTAACTGTTGACGCAAAGAATATTAAGGATTCCAGATGGATTATAATGAGGATACAGGTGTCGAACTTTTTGAAAATTTGATGAAAATCAATCTTTTAAAAAATATTTCCAATAACAATGTAATAACAATGTACGCAAGCTACCACGGCCGTCTGCTAGGTAAAGCATCAGCCTCATCCAGTTTAAAAACTGAAATCCTGGAATATTTGTTAAAAAATGATTTTTACTTTGAATTCAGTTACAAAAAAGCGCAACTTTTGGATGTTTCATATGCTATTAAATAAAATATGTATGCGATAATTTGCATACTGTTTTACATCTTCTTCCAAATCATTGCATGTTTAACCCCAAATAAATGTTACTCCTTCTTTAAGTTCCAATGTGACAAATTTAATAAAAATATAATTAATAAAATACCAATTGAGTGGAAAAATTCAGTACAGCAGATTATAAAAATTGACGACTCTTACATTTCAATACAAAACAACACAAATCCTATTATAATTAATCACAATGACGACTCTGATAGTGAAACAGGAATTACATTTAGACATTTAGAATAAAAATTTAATTATGTGTAGATATTAATAGCTATGAATTTACTGTATTTATTAAATATCATTGTTTTTTCGCAGTGCAATTTAATACAATTTAATTAATTAATACAATACCTAAATAAAAAAAAATATATTACTACCAAAATCTTTGAGAGTCCTAATTTCATAATTGGGGCCAAAGTCAGCACGATGAAAATTGAGAAAGACTATACTAGATTTTAATGTTAGGTATATATGTATGTACTGATCGTGATAAAGGAGGAATAATATTGTTGTTTCACATGGCGTTCAAACTTTTTCTTGCTTACTGGAAGTTTGGGGTGAATATGCTTTCAGGTTCCGCCAGATTTTCTTTATAACTATTGCTTCCTTTACTTTATCTCTTTCGTAATGATATGTAAAAAAAATATCATTTATTTTAAAAGTTTCCACACCTCCCGCAACTTTAAATAACTGAAAAGCGTCTTTAAGATTTAAAAAAATCTGTATAACTCATGCTGCGTACGGGATAAGGTCTAGGTTTAATTCATGCACTACGAATAATAGTTGTCCATTCTCATGGAACCATCATCGCCCCGTGCATTGGATCTACTGATATATATGTATGGCCGGTTTACAAGAACGTTAGTATTATTTCAACAATTTTTTTTTTAACATAAATAACATTTTTGGTAAAGGTTTCATAAACAGTGAAGTTATATACAGCATATTTTGGGGCGTAACCAAAACTTTTTGCAGATCAAAAGGCACTATAAGTTTCTCTGGATTATGTTCTGCTACTTTCCGTTTATTTAAAACTCGCTCTTTTTTATTTCTTCTTAAAACGTAGTATTCCTGGATTAACAACCGTTTAAAATTTGTTTCTGACATTCTTCTCCTCTTAACTTTGACGGGATGAAGAAGATCCTTTTTTGTCATCTCCTAAAAAGTTTTACATCTATTGTTGTTCCTTTTTCCTAAGCAAAGATTTGACAATGATCTTCATAAGCCTGTGCTGATTCTTTCTATTATTAATTTTCTTACTTGTCTTTTTGTATAGCTTTCAGTTAAAGCCCCGGAACCAGAAGATTTGGACTCTTGTGTGCCGTTTTCGAAATTTGGAACGAAAGGATCCGTATCGTTGGAGGGGTTTTTATGTACATTACTTACAAGTCGTTTAACTTTAAAAGGATCAAGTAGTGCTTCTTCAGAGTCTGGTGCTAACAATTCTTTTGTGGGAGAACAGCTTACTTATTGCTGATTGTGATTTAGATACGTAATTTCAGCTGGAAAATTTGTCAATTCTTCAATAATTATATCCCGATTCAACGCTTCAATAAGCGGGAAGGATTGTTCAGGAGAATGTGCATCAAGTGCAATGAAAGTATCTTGGGACCCACCTTTCAGACATAAGTACCAAATTTAAAATACTGAAATAAAACGTTAACACATTCTAAAAACATTTCATAGAAATAATGATGTACATTGTTATTAAACATTTTTTTTATAAATAGTTTTATTATAGCAAAA